ATGTATGTATGTATGTATGTTTTGTTCAGCGTGGAACAAGCCTTATTGCATTTGTTGCATTTGTTCATAAAGTCATTTAAAAAAATTCCAAGCAAGAGAATACACACACACACACACACACACACACACACACACACACACACTTAAACTAAATGTTTCCCCTGCCAGTTGTGACTGACTCTAGTGGTCGATGCTGATCACCAATTCACAGCCGAAAAGCCAATAATGTACAAAGATATTTCTGTGGTCATGTAGCCGGCATAACTATATGTCAAAGGTTTACCTTCCCACCAAAATAGTACCTGTTTATCTACTTGCATTTACATGCTTTCGAACAGCTACATAGGCAGAAGATATAATTTTACAAGTAAATACTTTAATAAAACTGTGCTTTCTTCCTCTCTGCATTGTTGTGGTAGATAGTTTAGGACAGGAGTCCCCAACCGCCATTTGGAACCAGGCCATGGAAATGATGGGCAAGCACAAGTGAAGCTGGATTTCTGAAAGCGGCATATGTACAAAAGCATCCCTGCCACTGCCACCTCCACCATTTTGCCCAGCCAGAAAGAATGGAGATCTCTGGTTTAGGACACATTACATCCAGCATCTGGAATGTTAATTTATGGCCCGCCATTAAGTACAAAGCAAGCAATTCACCTTGCCTATTTCTTCTGTAAAGACACCATTGCTTAATGGTAGGAAAGAAGGGGGAGGACTCTAATATTTAAATATATAATGCAAACATCTCCATTACTAAGGGAAAAGCTTTCTTGAGATGCTAGCATTCAATGTATACGCCTTTATTGTACTTGTATTATGCTTTTAAGCTTAGTCACTTAAATGCAAGCCCGTCTTTATTTCAGCCAGATAATGGTGTTTTAAACATTCCTCTCATATCTCCTACTCTTAGAATGCCAATGTACAACTTTCACTGACAACTATTTTTAACCGAAAGCTACATATATTTAATGGGAAGATTAAGGATTGCGGATTTATTAACACTATTGATTGATCTGCTTTGGATCTGACTGCCAAACCTGTAGAATTTTCTGCTTTATTACCTTGAGAGTTACCAAATTGATAAATGAAGACTTTGAGGGAATTTAATTTTTTTTGTTTCAATGTGAAATAATTCTACATACCAGTTTTAATAACACTGTGTGTGGTCTTCAAGCTCCAGCTGTTTATATAATTAAGACCAGCTGAGTCTTAGGAAGTAAATAATTACAGTAATCTCTTCCTTCAGCTCTAAGGGGTTAGTCATTGGAAGAAACAAAAATTGCCCAAGATTGCAGGTAATGTTTTTGAAAAATGTCAAATGTCTATGAAAAATTGCCCCCACTTTTTTTTTTGTTCTAATTGCTGCTTTGAAAAGGTGAGGCAAAATATAGAAGTTCCATCAAAATGGTTTGCATTTTATGAAGCTAGTACATCTTCGTTATCAGGCATGTCCACAGATTCAAAATAGGTCAAGATGACACATTGGTGTGATTGAAACAAACATTCATAAAAACAGATCACATCACTGTGGGCACCATCTTGACTTTTTTTAGTATACTCCACAGATATACCTGTTAATCAAAAAAATGATGTTTTAATCCAGCTATTCCAGAGGCACTCCATCCCATCTCACCCTCTCAAAAAGATAACACAACTTCTACATGATAAATCTTGCTGCATCTTGCAATTCTGGGTTTTTGCTTAATTCTAATTTGAGTTTTACTTTTGATACCTTTTTATATACATTAGTTTTGCAGTTTTTGTCAGCTAGGCTAGCGGCCCCCAACCTTTTGGGCACCAGGGACCAGGGTTCTGTAGAGAAAGGTTTTTCCATGAACCGGAAGAGGCACGTTTTGCGTGCTGCCTGCATCTTGTGGATGGGGCTTTGCTTGTTTGCATGGTCCAGTTGCTGGCATGGCATGGCCTAGTTCACAGACCAGAAGGTTGGGGACCCCTCAGCGAGGCTATTCTCCTTTCTTTATGATTGTTAAAAAGTATTATGATTTATAAAATTATACAATTGTATAAAGTACTTCACACTACAAAGCATCTGTTGCCCAATTGAATGTAGACACATGGAAGGGAAAAGGAAAAGGAAAAAGGAGAAAGAAGGTATACAACTTTGGCTGTCAGTTTAACATAGTTAAAGCCTAGGTTTTAGAATGTATTGATTAACTGCCAATGAATTAGCCATTATTCTGCTCACAGTGCTTCCTCTGAAAATACACAAGAAGTTTCCAAATAGGAGACAGGATGGGAGCCAGTTTAGGTGTAGTGTAGGAAGGAAGCCAGTGAAATGGAAACCAGGAGATGTGAGTTCTAGTCCCACCTTAGGCATGAAGCCAATTGGGTGAGAGACATGGGCAAACGACTTTAAAATCTTGCTACAAAAACTGCAGGGACTTGTCCAAGCAGTCACAGGCAATCAACAATGATTTGAAGACGTGCACATGCATAGCTTCTGAATAATAATGTCAGTTTGATATGCTCAAGTCATTATGATACAACTATGAATTCACATTTAAACGTAGCCTACTTTCCATTTCCTTTTGTGAAGCTTATAGGTCCCTGTTGTGCTCTTACTACATTCCAGAATCTCAGCTTCAGGCAAACTATATTCTGAATCCTGTGGGTTGGAATCCACATCATGCACAGGGTCGTACCCAGGTTGATTACCGAAACAGCTCTATTTTTGTGCTATTTAGCCTAGTTGTTTGTTCATGGAACTAGGTGTGCGTGGCAGACTGGAGAGGGAATGCTGCGGCTATTCTTCAGTCTATATTTTAAGGTTAGAAATCCTGGAAAATCTCAAGCCAATAACTAGTAAATGGGAATCAGAAAAAAAGTCCTGATTCACAGAGTTGTTATTTAGGGATACAATATGCAGCTAAATGACTAATCAGCATTATGCCAAAATTATTCTTTATTTTCTGTCTATAAGGTTAATTCTTCATCTCTACTCATTATTGTCTGTACACAAGTTTGGCCTTGTATCACGGGTGGGATTCAACTGGCGTTGCTACCGGTTAGGTGACTATGTTTTGCATCAGTTACTTCTGTAATACTGGCTGATTGATGTCATCTTGTGATCTTCCCGGCATCTTATACCTTTTATATATTTTTCTGTGAGAAGTTCCTCTTAAGACATTGTTTGTTTTATCAATATAGTCTTTCTATTCTCCATGATGTTGATTTTTTGGGTAATATCTAAAGTTATAATGAAAGGCTTAAGACAACAACTACCAACATTTCTTCAAGAAGTTTTCTTGGGAAAGAACTTCATAGCTGGTACCTGTTATTTTCAGAAGACAGCAGTTTTACAATTCTGATACCGTCCATAGTCTTCATTCAAAATTTAAGACTAGATTATTTTTATATGAACGTATTATTAATGTGCTTTATGTCTTTTTTCTTTTAACAGATTGATGTATCCTTTCAGCCTGAGCATATCTTAGAACGAATTTGTAACTGCCGCTGCACGAATTTGCCTAGAATTTGTATCGTGTCACATTTCCATGGGGACCGTACAAGATCCACTGAGATCTACTAAGCTTTCATTGGTCACAGCTGAAGAATCTCCTAAACACCTGTGCAAGCAAGCAAGCATAGAAAGCAATAGTAATGGATATCCTTTTACTGCCAAGAGCCAGCCGTCTGGGGGATGCCTGTTTGAAGTGAACTCTGGCAGAGAAGCCAATGTTCCAAAGAGTGACTGGCATTGTGAATATGACACCAAGCATCCAGACATACTTTCTCCTGGGTCCTTCAGCTGTTCCAAAGAAGGCATCATGGCAGCTCCAGAACCAGTAAATTACGCTAGGCAGGAAGGCTCCAGAGCCAAGGTCCAAGGCCCAGCACCTGAAGCCCACACCTCAGTGCATGGTGAAGTTGAAGTGCCTCTTACCCAGGAGACTAACAAAAATATTCCAAGTGATAGTGGACAATCATGTAATATAATTGATAATATAATTGATAAAGCAACCATGCTGCCCGGAGGAGACCTTGAAGTTGCGGCGAGCAAATCCAAGGATTACTCCATTCTTCCTTCCTCTCCTATTTCTTCTGATATCCAGCAAGCAGCTCCTGCAGGGAAGGAAAATGCATGCGAAGTTATCGTCTCTGCAAACAGCCACGTCTTGGTTTCCTCTGATGGGATGGGTCTCAATCCGAAAGCTCCTGTTTGTGTGGAAGCAGAATCAGGGGATGCAAAGGATGAAAATCTCTGTCCTGAGACGGAGCCACAGACTGCGTCCGAATGCAACCCGAAGGGCTCTCCCGAGACACCCTGCATCGCTAGTGATGAGCCTATAGCAAAGGTGGTAGCAAGCCTGTCCAAATTCAAAGAGACAGGTACGATGACAGTAAAGCCTGAGAACAGATCCGTAGAAGCAGGGATGATAAGCTGGTCTCATCAAGATGCTGAGGTTCAAGCTGTACCTAGTGTGGAAAGCAGGTCAGCTTCTACCAGCCCAAGTATCTTGACGGCATTCTTAAGAGAGAACCTGTCCCCTGAGGCCAAACAGGACCAAGATCAGTTGCACATTATTTACATGGGAGCCAGAGGGAAAGAGCAATCTGAAATAATTGATGACTTTGCAGCCACTGTCCAAACACCTTCATCTATTGGCATCATGCACAAGGTACATGTTCAAATCCCACCCACAACAGAAAAGCCTCTGGAAAGTTCTAATGTCAGACTTCAGGAGAATCTCACAAACATTCCTGATCCGATTAGCTCAGCATTGTTGGATAAGGCAGAAAAGGTATGTTCAGTGGCGTCTGAAAATTCTCAAGAAACTTTGGCCAAGAGGACAGAGGTACAAATGACAGACATGGCTAAAAATTGCGGCGATGTTCCCCAGCAGCTACCAGACAATTCAGTTCTGCAGAAAGCAAGACCCATTTCCCAAATTGGTGTCGGTTCCAGTAATCAGCCTGTGTCTACCCAGCTCCCTGCAAACGTTGAAACTAAACTACCTCCCTGTTTTGCAAACCCAGCCATTGATAGCATATATCAACACTCTGATCCCTCTCCCTTCTCAGGAAATCCTTCTCCTTTGTGTCACAGAACATCGGTACAAGCTAAGGCGGTTATCAGTATGGATACTGAGAGGACCTATCAGGAGAAACAGCTGCAAATCAAGACTGTTGATAACCTTGAGACAGCTCTGCCCAGTTTTCCCACTGCTGTAAATCCAAAGAGAGAAGGAAAGGTCCATCTCATAGCTGAAGAACAAAAGATGAATACAACAGGATCTGTTAATGGCTCTCAAGTAATGAGTGCTCCAGCTGCAGCAGAAAGCAAGCAAGATACAGTTCCTGGGGATACCAAGGCAGAAACTTTGGTCAGTCAGAATCCAATATTTAAGTTGAGCAGAGGTTTTGGTGCTGCTGTAGGAATCCAGAATGATAAAATCCAGAAGGGTCTGGTGCTTGATATACCAGCCATTCGTACTTCTTCGAGTCCTACACCACGTCATGGCGAAAAGAAGAAAGGGCCCAAGGTTTTTGCTGCTGAGGCGAAAATGCATCTGAAGCAATCCAAGCGTGTCAGGGATGTTGTGTGGGATGAACAGGGCATGACCTGGGAGGTTTATGGAGCATCTCTCGATCCAGAATCATTGGGAATTGCTATCCAGAACCACTTGCAGAGGCAGATCAGGGAGCATGAAAAACTGATTAAAGCTCAAAGCCCGCAAGCCCGAAAATCCATATCTTCAGATACATCTTCAAATAAAAAATTGAAAGGGAGGCATCACAACGTTTTTCATTCCATGCTGCAGAATTTTCGACGCCCAAATTGCTGCGTTCGTCCTGCGGCTTCTTCTGTGTTGGATTGAGAAAATAAAATCAGAAAGGAGGAGGGGAAAGTAACACATCTGTTTGTGCGTACTTGTGTACTTGTACAAGGAACTCTATGGATATTTGAGATTCTAATACACTGATACAGGGTTGTGGGGAGAGGAAATTATGACAGGATATTTCGTTCCCACTAGTTAACATGCCTTCATCTGTCTAATTTCTGCAAATTACGCATGAAACATTCATGTTCATGCCGGAACTTCCCAGTCAATTGCCAAATAAAATAGAAGTACCTGGTAAAGCAAAATTCAGAACTGTCAGGTTACTTAAGTAACCCACTGTAGCTTTAGATGGAAAGAGAGAGATGACTAAATCTTAAATAGATTGTTTTTATTTTTTTTCATGAGATAATGTAGCAAAACATTCGCAAACTGAGGAGTAGAAAGAAAGTTGGGTTTGGGTCTAGTAGAAAGAAGGAATGGTGCTTTCTTAACTGTAGAAAACCTTCAAAGTTGAGACTCATCTACACATTAAATACAAGACCTGGTGCCCAAATCCTTCCAGCTGAGTTTTGCCCATTGGCAGCTGCTGCCGGCCTTTCCCCACTGAAGGGGCTTATTCTCACATGAAAAGTGCATAAATTTCCAACCATCCTGATACTTCAAAGCCAGATTTTGTTTTAAGGATTGGGGATTTGTATTCATTTACTTGCTGATTTTTCTTTTTTGTTTTGTGCCTTGTTTTCTCCAGTGATTCTCAGAGAATGGATGAATACATATACACATGCACGCACTCACACACACACACACACAAACAGAGAGCACTTCACATAATACTAGAGAAAACAGGATGGGTTTAGGATGGATTGGAGAAATTAAGAATTGGTAGAAACTTTTGCAGTCTTTTCATGTACACATGTCCAGCCTATTAATGCTTGCTGCATAGATCTTGTCTGCTTGTTTCCTGATATTTTCTGATAGCTAAGGGATTCTGAGTGTTGAAGTCCACACAGGGTAAAATTGCCAAAGTTGAGAACATTCATCAAAGGGAAAAACAACTGCATTTACCCCAAAAAATATTCAAATCATTGTTTAGTGAACCAGGAACCTACTGATCACTGGTTTAATTTCTCATGTACATTTCTTATGACATTGCTGCATCTTCTAGCCTTTACAAATATTTTTGTACCCTCGAAGTGTTTTGGTTTAGAAATTTTGGAAGGCATAGCTGTGATTCCAATATTTTAAGAATTTCCACGTTTGGGAAAGATTGTTCTAGAATAAGGGCTTTTATCCATGGCTGAGAAAGAAGATAAACATTGCTTTTTCTATCCTATTTGTATTTTCTTTGGTACAAAAGCACCAGTCTCTGACTATTTTTCATGCTTGAAGCTATGCTTTGACCCTTCTATTGATTGATTAGTTCTAAGCTCCAGTATTCCGTTAACATAACAGAGTTGGAAGGGACCTTAGAGATCTTCTAGTCCAACCCCCTGCTCAAGCAGGAAACCCTATACCATTTCAGACAAATGGTTGTCCAATCTCTTCTTAAAAACCTGCAGTGTTGGAGCACCTAAAACATCTGGAGCCAAGTTGTTCTACTGATTAATTCTTCTCACTGTCAGGAAATCTCTCCTTAGTTCTAGGTTGCTTCTCTCCTTGATTAATTTCCATCAATTGCTTCTTGTCCTACCTTCAGATGCTTTGGAGAAAAGACCCTTTAGATATTAATTGTATGTTTTTTCCAGCATAGTATTCCTCTGTAGATGCTTTTAAAGTCATCAGTGTATAAACAACTGTTTCTAGCTTTGGTTCTAAGATGATCACATACATACACATGTGTCACCAAAAATGTGAGATGCATCTGCCGATTTATATATACAGATGCTAATATAGAAACAGTTGCTATAACTGAAAGAGAAGTGTAATGCAGTTCAGCAGAATTGAGAAAGGTTGTGATCAAGTGACCTTGGAGCATATTTCACTTATTGTCTGAATTTTAATTGCTGATAAGTAAATCAACCCAACTATGTTCCTTCTTAGTTGTTGTTTTTTTTAATCTTTAAATTGGACTAACTGGCACTGTTTCTCAACCTTAGCATCTTTCAGTTGTGTGGACCTCAACTCCTAAGAATTCCTCAGCATGTTTGGGCAACATGGCTGGCTGGAGAATCCTGGGAGTTGAAGTCCACACATCTTAACGATGCCACGGTTGAGAAATTTGTGTGCTCAAAAAATTACTTCTAAAAATATAAATATAATGAAAGGATAATGCAGATCTGCTTGAAATATATTTAGCAAAACATGGAACAAAAGTGTGGAATTTTCTCTGCAAATTGATTAAACCTAAGAAAGTTCCTTTGTTAACTATGACTTGTTCAATAATTATGGTTAACAGTATATTGGGGCAAATGCAAGCAACATTATAGCTTCATACGATGCATAATCTAGGCCAGTAAATTTAAATGAGTTGAATCCCAGAAAAGGCAGCCTAAATCTCAGGGATTTTCATGACTTTTGTGGTTCTGCCTAATGTTATTATAAAAAGACTATGCTTCTAATCGGACCATTTTGGGCGGGGGGGGAGGGAGGAAATGCAATACCGATAGCAATCATTCATTCTGCCAACTTTAATCAAATCCATATTCCATTGCTTTCAATGGGAAATAAACATGTATATTACCCATTGCTATTGAAATCAAATATTAAAAATGATTTCTTTGGACTGAACTGAACCATCACATGAATGTAGAAAAATATGTTTTCCCCTCTATTATGGAAAAAATATATCTAATTTGTGATCATTTGTGATTATCATATTTATGGCTTCCAACCTGCATCATTTTTTTTTATCATTACTTTTTACTTTTGGGGGGGTTGTTACTTCTAGCATCTGCCAACCTAGCAGTTCAAAAGCATGGAAAAAGTGCAACTAGAAAAATAGGGACCACTTTGGTGGGAAAGTAACAGCATTCCACGCACCTTTGGTGTTTAGTCATGCTAGCCACATGACCATGGAGACGTCTTTGGACAGCGCTGGCTCTTCGGCTTTGTAATGGAGATGAGCACCACCCCCTAGATCTGGAAAGGACTAGCACGTATGTGCAAGGGGAACTTTTACCTTTAAGCATCAACATTAGAGCTTTTGCAATGTAGATCTTCTCCAGCCTTGCTTTATCATTTGCCTTGCAGCAAAATCAGCTCTTTTAGCAGTTCAGTACAATCACTACAGCAGGAAATTTCTTGAAAAGGCATTGCAGTTTTTCAACCTTTCTTTGAACAGTGTGCTACACAGCAAATCCAACAAAAACCTTGCATTATTTAATCAAAGACGTGAGCTGAGCTTTCAACCCTTGTATTTTACAGAGTTATTGACTGCCTCTTGATAGTGGCACGGTGGCCTAGAGGTGGACCTCTTGCTTCACAATCAGGAGGCTGTGGGTTTGATCATAGGTAGTGGCAGATATTTCTCTCTCTGGGCCCAAATGAAAATATCTGCTGCAAACTCTATATAGATAAGAGTCAGGAAGATTCCCTTCCTGACTCCTATGCAGAGTTCGCAGCAGATATTTTCAGCTCCATTCAGTCGCCCCGACGCCACCCTGATGCAAGGGATTACTGGGTCATTTAAAAAAACTGACTCCTTTTGAGAAGATTTGTGGGATCTAACTTTTGACTTTAGTCCTCGTGACTCTTGGCTACTTATACTTAATTATATGGAGAGCTAAAAAGAAGAAGAGGTTAAAGGAAGCGGTTATATAAATTCCTGGGGAAAAAGATGAGCTTCTCCCCACCTTCCTGAGATTCAGTCCTTTTGAACTTGATAGGACTTATTTTTGAATAAATATATTCAAGATTCTCATGCTAACTTGGAATTGTATATTTGAAAAACATTTTATTAGGGAACAATTTATTATAATGTACTCAAAGTATAGTTGTTTATTCATAAAAAGATCAGTGTCAAGCAAGTAAGGTCCTGTTACCTTAAATGGGCTACAAATCACAAATCGGAAATGGAAATCGACGTATTGTATTTTTATCTGGTCCCCTGTGCAAATATGAGAAGATTCAGTAATTGTTTTCCATGTAGAAATCACAGTGTTTTGTCCAGTATCAGCTGAAATACTAGATAGCAGATTGGGGGAAATTCCAGGCAAGATAGCTTGATGATCTAATTTAAGTTAGAGCAGACCATGTCAGTCTAGTTCAGTGTTTCTCAACTTTGGACAGTTGAAGATGTGTGGACTTCAACTTCCAGAATTCCCCAGCCAGTATGGCTGTCTAAGGAATTCTGGGAGCCGAAGTCCACCCATCTTCAAGTAGCCAACGTTGAGAAACATTGATCAGGATAAATATGATCTCAAAAAGTACCGTAAAATACCTCCTGGTCATATTGAGCTGCCATGAATCATATATAGTATGGAAAAGAACATGATCATGAGCTGTGCTATTCATAACAGCTGTGCTGTATATTACCTCTAGCATTGAAGACAATTCCCCAGTTTTTGGAAAAGGCAGGCCAGAAGACTCTATCTTCATAGAAGGCCAGGGTAGAAACACAAAGATTAGATAAGTTACTCGTGTCACCAGCAGAGCTGAGATTCTTAAAACTATAATCCTGTCACTTCTGTTCATTTATTCTACTGAAATTTGACTGCTTTTATGTGCTTAATAACTAAAGAGGTTTTTCATAAATTGAACCATTTTAATAACCTTCATGTAAATCAATGTTATTCTTCAGGTGAACCCAGTTTTATTTAGGATTCCTTTGTAAAGACGCAATTATCTGGAAGGGTTCTTCTTGAAAGCAGCAGAGGGAAATGTTACACCAAGGAGCTAAAATCTGGCTTGTTGTATTGTAATTTGAAGATTATGCACTAACAAATTTTTGAAATCAATGGAGTTGGCCCCTAAACTAAGAAACAAGATTAGGGATAGGATTTCTAATCCCACTGGTTTGTTTGTTTTTCCTGCTGATCCCAACCCAGCAGACATGGAATTCTTTAGGTAGAAAGGGTAAAGATTTCCCTGTCAGTCATGTCTGACTCTAGGGTTCATCTCTGTTTTTGGGCCGAGGGAACCAGCATTGCCCCACAAAATTTCCATGGTCATGTGGGCAACATGGTTATATGCCAAAGATATACAGAACACTTACCTCCCCACCAAAGTGGTACCTATTTATCTACTTGCATTTTCATGCTTTCAAACTGCTAGGTGGACAGTAGCTGGAGAAAAAAAAGGGGGGGGGGGAGCTCACCCCATTGCAGGGAGCTTGGGTCTTGAACCAGAGCTCTAGCTGAGACGCTCAGCATCTTTAAACTGAGCTGTTCCACCCCTCCTTTAAATGGTGAATTTTCTATCTGGAAAAGGAAACCATTCCTAATTATGAAGGATAATTATGTTCTATTAGAGTCTCAGCAGGTCAAGTTAGTGGGTACTTGGGCAAAATAGCCACAGGGCCTCTCATATTCTAGCTATTAACACTGCCAGTTTCTATTACATTCTGTCCCTAATTTTCTTCCCCAAATTCTTTTTCTTTTAAACTTTTTTTTTAAACATATTTTTCTGTAGAACAATACTCATGACTGGATTTTTCATTTTTCCAAGAAATATCTGTGAAAGAACAGCTTCTT